GCGTTGTGCCGGGTGCGCTCAGCCTGCGGCTAATTTCCGGTGGTCTGAGCTGCGAAACTGCAGACCGCGCGGGAGGGAGCGCACGGGGGCAGCCGCGGGGACTGCTCCGCTGACCCCGCCCTGCCCAGTAAAGCCAGGGAGAGCCAGATCTCAGGAGCGGGCGCCGCAACAGCCCGAGATCACATCCAGGCACCTGGTCCTAAGGGGAGCAGTAAAGCGCCATAGGAGCGATACCTGATGGTTATTAAAAGTTAATCTTCGCCGGGATTGTGTTCCATGAGAGCGGGCATCTGAACCTACATTAAGTCCCTGGTAGTCTCAACAAATGTCTGTGGATGGAGTAAATGAATAAATGGCATTAATTGGTTAATTCTATTAATAGAACGGGGGGCGGGGGAGGGAGCCAAAATCTCACGCATAAATTAAACAAATGCAGCAACCTCCAGCGCTAGTCTGTATGTCATGATCTATAGTGTGGCCTGTTGTGTAAATCTAAGCCTAAACCCTCCCCTGGTAAGGGTGGATATCCGTGTAATTACATTGCTTTCCTAAATGGGTGACTTAGATTTTGGTCACTACTTCATGCACAATAAGTCTCCAGTGTTAGTTACCCAGAGAAGGGAATAGTGCTCCTCAATTTTTTCAAATTAACAACCATGTATTAAATTAATTAAAAGTTGTCATGAGCGGGGGTGAGTCCCTTAGAGACCTTTTCCTAGAGAATGCTTTTTAAAGTGATTTTTAATTTGCACTGTAAATCTAAAGATTTGCAGAAAATATTTGGTTACCAAGGCAGTGCTTCAAGCATGCTTTAATAAACTGTATTTTACACAGCAATGATTGCACACCTACTGTGTGGCAAGTGCTAGATTAGACACATCTTAAATTATGTGTCTAGCTGTGCCCTTCACACTACTATTATTTTACTCAACATACCCTTTTATAAATAAATGCAGAGGTAATCAACCTCAATTAAAAGAATTACAAATATTGAATTAGCTAAAGGAAAATTAACACATTGCGGGTAGTTTTTATCTCGCGCTAACAGGTGGAACTGGTAGAACGTATAAATACGTAAAACGTATAAATATGTTTCCCGCATACAATGTGTTAAGTGCATTTAAAATTTTTATTTCTTGTGTGCTTTGTCTTGGCCCAAGGTCTAAAATATTAAAGACCATTTTCTTTGCACATTAGCAAGTTCAAAGTTAAGATTTCTTAAAAAGGCACAATGACTAGCAGTTTAGTTGAGTATTGCTGTTTAAGGTCTTAGAAAACATGGGTGGGAGGCTATGAAGGGGGCAATTAATCACCCAGCACAGCATCCATTTCATTCAGATTAAATCTAGTTGGCTTGCTTTGTTTGCCCTTTCCAACCTCTGAGTTTGCAAAATAAAAGTGGGGACAAGAACATCCAGGGAGAGGCAGGTGGGAGGAAGATGACGACAGATCCCCCTTTATATGTTTTGAACCATGTGACTGTATTACCAACTCAACTGAAGAAATACACATTGAAATATTT